AAAAAAAAAAAAAAAAAGCAATTAATCCTGAATTACTTTGAAGCCTCTAAACTCAAAATATTCTTCAGAAGCCCCCTCTGTTATTTGTAGTATAGAATACCTGAAGTACTAAAAATTAATATAACTGGATTAAAATGTAATTATAAAAGCAAATTCACTATAAAAATATTGCATTCCAAAGCCAAAGTGATTTTTTATTTTATGGGTCATTAGTTCTTTCCATTAGCAGGCTTATGAGAGCAGTCTGTTCTTCAAAGTAATTATGGTGTCAAATAGTTTTTATTTTCTTCTATTCATTTCTAATTTCCTACCATGCCCAATTCTTTTTACTTCTCTTCTGCACTGGGTCTATCACATGCACTGACATACATTCACATTTTCTTCTGACATACACCCTTCCCTCTCACATACTTTGCTATGTAAAATTCTGAAACTCTTGACACATATAGTTTTGCTTGTATAGTCATCTCTATCTTTCAAACCAATGCCAATTGCCTGCAATTCTTTCCCTGTATGGTTCTAATGCACTGTGTCAATTCCTACTCTAAGTGACTTAACAGTAGTTTTAAATACTGCTACCACAAACGCTTAACAATGGGGCCTGCTGAATGACTACAAAGACGGTCATTTCACAGCTGCCTTCCTGCTGTGAAATACTTAGTGGGATGTGTGGATGTGTGTGTGTGTAAGATTTATATAGAAAAGGAGAAAGAAAAATTACACATATATATTTATAACCTATTTCCTCCCTCTTACTACTGCTCTGGAACAAGATATGGGCAGCAAAATCTCTAACAAAGAAATGACTTGGAGAAAGGAGAACTATATCACCATTTTCCAGGTATTGTGAGTTTCTTGAATAAAACGGTGTTCTATGGGGCTTTTACATTTCCATAGCCATAATTATGGGAGAGCAAGTACAGAGGCATTATGGGAGAGCAAGTACAGAGGCATTTATAAGGCCAAGGCTGTTGTTGGTACACTAGGGCTGTGATAGGGACCAAAGAAGAAGAAAACTGTGAGTAAGAACAAATATTTTTAAGTTACTGACTTCAGCTGGGACTCTCAATGAATCATGATCACAATGTACAAGATGCTAAACTGTTCAGTTAATTTTCAGAAGCCAGTTAGAAGGTCAAGCAAGTCATTCAGTAAAACTAGTCTCCATAAAGAAATTATATCATACCCTACCTCCCAAATTTGTCCTTTTTGTTGAAATCTGCACCAGTATTCAGCAGAAGGTTTAGGCACTCCAAATTCCTATTGAGAGAAAATATAGTTAAAAAACTTAATTGGCAGTGATTTTATAATGAAATTGGTAGGTTTAAAGAAGCATGGAAGCATGCTTTTAAATGAAGATAAATGTGACAAAAATGACATGATTTATATTCTATGAAGAATAAAACATTAAAATGCATCTTATCTAGAATTCAGAAAGTTACATACTTATATATTGGCACACTGATAGGAAATAACACAATTCACGTTGTCACTGTCTAAAAGGAAGATCACATTTGCAAGAGATTCTGAGGCGGTTTTAGGAAATAACATGCTTACAGTTTTTTTCTTTTCTTGAGACAAAGCCTCACTCTGCAGCTCAGGCTAGAGAGCAGTGGTGCAATCACAGCTAACGATGGCCTCCAGCTCCCAGACATAAGTGATCCTCCAAGCCTCAGACTCCTGAGTAGTTCAGCTTACAGGTGTGAGCCACTGCAAGAGTCCTGTCATCTTTCCCTTATCTTCTCCTATACTATGACTGCTTATATATACGTATCTCTACGTTAATACTGGAGGAAAGGACATTATTTAAGTATTTCCATAATTTTATAAACCTGAACATCAGGCCGGGCGCGGTGGCTCAAGCCTGTAATCCCAGCACTTTGGGAGGCTGAGGCGGGTGGATCACGAGGTCAAGAGATCGAGACCATCCTGGTCAACATGGTGAAACCCCGTCTCTAC